CACTACAGGCCGCTGAATGTCTGGCCAGCTGAATTTTGTAGTTATAAAATCTGGCCCAACTGAATGTGTAGTTGAATAGCCCAGCCCTAGTGCATGCTTTTGTCACCACCCGCTTGGACTACTGCAACGGTGTCCTGTTCGGGGTTCCCAACAAAACCCTGGACAGGCTCCAGTATGTCCAAAACTGTGCTGCTAGGGTACTCACACACACAAAGCCGTGGCAGCACATCACTCCCACCCTCATCCACCTACACTGGTTGCCGGTCAAGTCCCGCATATCCTACAAAGTCCTCCTCCTCACCTACAAGTCCCTCCATGCCCTTGCCCCCCAGTACCTATCGGACATCCTTCACCCACATGCCCCACCCCGGAACCTGCGGTCCTCAGACTCTGGCCTGCTTAAAGCACCAAACTGCGAACCTTCGGGGACAGAGCCTTCAGTGTGGCAGCCCCCACCCTCTGGAACGCTCTCCCTGCGGAGATTCGCAACATCCCCACACTCGACGCCTTCAAAAGGGCCCTCAAGTCCCATCTGTTTGCCAAGGCTTTCGGCCCCTAAATCGATCTGTTGTTTTGCCTGTCTGACTTTTTGTTTTGTTATGTTTGTTTTTTGCCATTATTTTTGTAAAGCAACCTTGTTTTTGTAAAGCGACCTTGGCTCCCTTGAAAGGCGCTATATAAATCCAAGTTATTATTATTATTATTATTATTATTATTATTAGCAGTCGAGAGTGTTTACGTAACTAGTTTAGCATATTCAGCCCGGTTGTTGGCCTGGTAAGAACCTCGATTTTAGAGGGCCAGAAAAAAAGTGAAAAAGTAGTCCTGAGCCGGAACTATCCCTAGAGGAAAAGCAAAAAGAAAGTGCTACAGTGGAAAAGGCTGAAATAAACACAATGTCAGACTGAAAGTGAAACAAAGTTGTAGTTCTGTCGGGTAATCAGGCTAGGTAGCTATGGCCATCACTTATTTTACTATATTTATTTGTTTGTCTGTCCTTGTTTGTCTACCCTCCCTCATACTGTAAAGCGTCTTTGAGTTGTGAAAAGCGCTATATAAATAAAATGTATTATTATTATCAAGGTGAATGTGTTTATTACACAGCAGCCAATGGCAGGGCAACACTGAGACCTGGGCACAATCCAGATTACATGCATTTCAATAGGGTTGGTCGACCAATGGGGGTGTGTGTGTGAGTGTCTTACCTTGACTGTAAGTGTTCCAATTGAACCTGCAGGTTCTCAGTCTGCTCCACCTGCTCATCCAGAGATCTCTGCAGTTTCCTGGTCTGGTTATGGGACTCATCCAACTGGACACACACACACACACACACACACACACACACACACACACAGATAGAGAGACACACATGCACACACAGACACACACACACACACACACACACACACACACACACACACACACACACACACACACACACACACACACACACACACACACACACAAATAACACGTTGTTACTGCTGATTATGTCGTGTGCTAGTTGGCATTCTAAATGTGGTATGGCAGATGGTTCCACAGGGCTCCTAGCTTCTATACTTTCTGTCAGATAAAACCTTTTTTTGGTCTTTGGCTGTCTAACTGTTAGTTGGAATGATTAGTGGAGTTTTGGTTTGGTGGAATAGTTAGAAGCTGAACGTTTCCAATAAATGGACAAAAGCAATGATGGTCCCTTAGAGGAACCTTCAGAAATAGATGCAGAGCCTTGTCCCTACCTCATCCTCCGCCTGTCCCAACTCTTTCTTCAGCTCCTCCACCCTCAGTCGGAGCTTCTTCACTTCGGCCTCGTGGCTCTCCACCCTCCGGTTGGCGTGGGCCAGTTCTACCATCTTCTCTTGGAACTGCTTCTTCAGCTTAGCATGAACATGGCGAACATCAGCGAGCTCCTATAGAGCAGAGGGGCGGATAGGACAGGGTTAGAGAGACATGTGTGCACCAATCAGCTCCTCTGTTTCTTTACCAGTGAAAATATAAAGATTGACTTCAGCAGTCAGATTGTCTTCATTAGAGGATCTGGTGTTGTACAGAGAGTATAGGAGAGCCTCTCTGCCCTCTAAACAGAGAAACATCGATCTGACAGACCAGCAACAACATCCAGGGAGGGCTGAGCAGAGGGTGTAATGGCCAGATAGTAATAATCAGAGCTTTACTCCACAGGTGAGGGGGGGCTGAGGAAAGTGCACACATGAACTAATGGCATCATCAATAATGCATCATTGTTACTCACTGCACTTCCATGTACTATCTGCTGTCTTAGCTAATGGCCCCCCAGACAGAGCAGTTTCCAAGAAACATTTCTACATTTACAGGGCAATAACATGAGATACAGGAACAATAAAAGACAAGACGAAGGATTAGGAAATGCCCTTTACTTAATTATTTTTATCTCTGTTTGATTCACCATCTATCTTTATAATAAATATTTGATTCCTTGAGCTATCAACAGAGAATTAGCTCTAACCTCTTGCTTTATTCCCACTGAGAATACACTGAGTGTTAAGGCCCTGAAACACCAAGCCGATTTCGGCCGTCGATAGATGTCTGGCCGTCGATGAGCGTCCTGTCGCCCTACTCAGATTGGTGTGTCCCACACCCTCGTCTCTTTTCGGCCGTGCCGACACCTTCCGCTCCTGATTGAACATGTTGAATCGGGAGCGGAGGCTGTCGGCAAAATAAATCACTCTGATTGGCTGTTCAGCTTAGCGAATCAGTGCATGAGAAGTGAAACGGAAGTGAGGTACGCAAACAAACGATTAAGAAGGCACACACAGCCACAAGCAACAGTCCAAGGGTTAACACCGCCAGTATCGCACTAAAAATGTTTTCGATTATAAGTCGCTACGTGAAACAGTCTGTGATGGACAAGAGTGAAAATGGAACGCACACACTATTTGTTGTTTGTATATCACGCAGTCTGTCTTCCGGTTGCCTCTTTTGAATGATGAATACACACTACCGCCGCCTGCTGGTAAGGAGAGTTATCGCCACCCACGCCTGCGCAGTGCGTACATGCTACTTGTCCGTCGTCAGAAGTCTTTGCGGTGTGTTCCAGTGCGACACATGGCCAAGACGCATGAGACGTGAGGCGACGCAACAGTCGGGTCTGTCGGGACGTGTTCTTTGGTTTGTCAGGGCCTTTACATGTATTTGATTAGAAGAGAAAGGGTGTGTTTCTGTTTAAATAACATTTCCTAACGCAGGCGCTCCCCCCCCCCCCCCCACAGAGAATATTCACTGATAATCAAGGCAATTACCCAAATGCCACACAAATACTAGTGTAACCCAGAGCAAGATCAAACAAAGAGAGTGGCAGGGTAATGCAGGAGGGAATAATTAAAGGAGGGGGTGGGGTCTGAAGACAGGGAGAGGAGACAGATGAGGAGAGAGAGGGGGGAGGAAGTAATAGGAGGGGAGTATTTTACAGGACAATAAAAGGTTAGCATGAGAACAAAGAGGAGAGACAGCCGCCTGTGAAGGAGAAAACATTTATAAGATCATTAACGTCTGACATGAGAATGCATGCTTGGGGAAACTTTAAAGATTAGAGACAGGAAAGAGATGAAGATGACCTCTAAATGAAAGAGTCTGACGCTGTACTACAGTTTTCTTAGTTTGAAAAAACAACATTATCAAAATGTGTTCTTCCTTAATTTCTGACTTCCTGTTTCCTCTAAAAAGACATAGTTAATTCAGATTGAGCTGGTCACAGTAGTTTCCATCAACATTTGCTCAGACAGGAAGAAATAATGCCTCTAATGAGGACTATTTCCTGCAGCGGATTAATACATATGTGATGCTGTCACAGGGATTTGGATACTTACCAATTATTTATTTATTTTTAATCAACTTTATTAATACAATTTGTTTACCATAATTTGTGCATTTTAAACTTGAACATTTAAGTTTCCAAAATAAAGCATTATGTAACATTTGTGTGATACATGATGTATGCAAAGAAATGGAAAACAATATTTCTGTTAGAGGATTTTAAACGAATATTGGCACTCAGAATTTTTCAATTTTTCAACTTAACATAGAATAAAAATAGAGGCCAGTGTAAAAATATGAGAATAGGATACAAAATAGGAATATGATATCACACACACACACACACACACACACACACACAAANGTACTACTACTATATACTAACTAAATACTACACTACACACACACACACACACACACACACACACACACACACACACACACACACACACACACACACACACACACACACACACACACACACACACACACACACACACACACACACACACACACACACACACACACCCTGTGATCGGTCAGACAAAAGGCCTGATTCCACTGAATGCCTCGGAGCTGACACACACTGCAGCTTCGCCATTCCAAGAATATATGGGGGGGGGGGGGAGATGGGGGGGAGATGGATAAATGGGAGGAGGGTGAGCCGCTGGGCGGACCAGAGCTCATCTTATTTCCACACTCTTCAGGTCCAGCTATCCATCCCCTGACCCAGACTACCATCACATTGATGTACAGTGCTCTGATGTTCAAGGAGTACACCCTGAGGTGAAACAAGTACTCACATCTTTTACTCAGGTAAAAGTAGCAATACTACAGTGTAAACATACAGATACAAATACAAACCCAACATTCAAAATCCTATCCAAGTGAAAGTACAAAAGTATTACGATCAACATAGACTCAAAGTACCAACCCTATAAGTACTTATTATGTGGTATGGCCAATTTCAGAATGTCACACAGTATACTCAACATTTGTATTGTAATCGTTGCTGCATTAATATGTTCATCACTTTCAATTATTTTATAAACTGCTAGGGAGTTTATTTTATAATACTATAACATATATATATATATATATAATATATGTTGTTTTAGTAGGATGTAACTAATGCTGTAAACAAAATGTAGCTGAGTAATAAGCACAGCATCTGCCTACAAAATGTGAGAATACTCAAGTGAAGTCAAATACTTGAGTACATGTACTTTGATATATATCCACCACTGCTCAATACTGAAACGAAAACGTCAATAAGTCAGAACTGGAACTACTGTGGAAGAGTCATCAAAGGTCACCATTTCACTATCTAAAAACTGCAGATCCATGTTTACCTGATGCATGTGACACAGTTTGTCTTGCTGCCAGAGAGGTGCATGTTAGGTAAACAACCCCACCTGGTGAACACAGGTGTCATTACAAGACATGTCCTTGTATTTTATTTAATGTCCAGGTATTTTGATCTTTTATGACAACTACAAAGTATGGAGTATTATTATACTTGATTTATTTTCACTTTTAAAAATGGTTACTTTAGTTCATTTCCATGCCTTATGTAAAGCTCAGCCCTACTGTTGCTCTGGTGTTTCAATGTGCCACACATATCAAGTCACCTATAGCCTTTGTACCATGAACAAGTTCATCATATAACATGCTGTGTTATGACATTTGGCTTAATTGACTCAGTAATGTTTATCCCCACCCTGGAATGACTCATCAATAGAATCATGTTTGATTTTTTCAGTTATCTCCTGTGCTGCTGTCTACAGGTGGATGGGTAATAATGGACGGAATAACAAACTAGAATTGGAGGTGAAAGGTTGTGTTGACAGATCTATGAGCTGATTGTTCAGTTCCCCAGGGCCAGGTTATTCAAGGTTGCTTTGAGAAGTCCCTCTGGCTGAGTTCAAGTCTTTAGGTGTATCAATTATATTTATATGACGGACAGACTGTTCATCAGCTAAATTATGTGCATAAAACACAAAGAGCAGGCAGACAGGCAGCTGTTTACGTTGATCTGCTGGCGGTTTAACAGATCAGTCTGATGCCTGAATAAAGATGGTGTTCAACACAAGGTCTTGGCACAATCTACTTACATGTACAGAAATGTGGTGTGTGTGTGTGTGTGTGTGTGTGTGTGTGTGTGTGTGTGTGTGTGTGTGTGTGTGTGTGTGTGTGTGTGTGTAGGACGATCTGGTTACCTTCAAATACATAGATACCATTTTGTTTTTGTTCATAGTTTTGTGTTGTCTATCAGCTAAGTTGTCATTAAATGGACATTTCCCTAAAGACAAGAATCAAAAGATTGATAAACAAGCTTTGTGAATATCTTTGTACCTTTGTTTGAATTGTTTTTCTTTTGTAAACCAGTAAGCAGAAGAGTGACTGCAATAGTTCTTTACTTTATGAAATGGTCAAATGGTCATCGGAGTGAGGGGCAGAACTCTCCTAAGCTTTCTCGCTTACTGGTGTTAGAGACCCATTTGAAACAAAGATACAGGGACTGTGGAAGCTGGGAAGTCCCGCCCACCTTGTTCCTCTCGAACAGCTCGCTCTGGATGGCCTTCATGTCGGTGTCGAGTGCAGAGGCAGCCTGACGCCGCTTCTTGGCCAGCTGCTCCTGCAGGTCTTCAGCCTGGGCCCTCAGCTTCTTGTTGTCTCTCTCCAGGGCCAGTTTGTCCGTCTCCAAGCGCTCCCTGCGTCCCCATTCTGCAGCATTCTCCACCTGCAGCCTCTCCATCTGATAGAGCCCGAGAGCAGAGAGCAGAGAGGCTGAGGACACTGAGCTGATACATGCCCTCATGTGTTCCCATCAAGCCTCAGTGAAAAACACACTGTAATCATACAGGGAAGCTACTGAACTGAGAAGCACCAAATCTGGTTAAAACAAAGAGAGTTCAGAATAACTTAGTTGTTTTGACTTTTACTGAGTAAAAGTACATAAGTGTTATCACCAACATTTACTTCAAGTTGTCAAAGTATTCATTCTGCAAAAGAAAAGAGTAGAGTGATGCAGGAATGAGTCTTTAACCTGGAAATGTCTCAGCATGTTGTCACTTCCGGTTCCCTATTTGGGTAGTCAATGGTTACCTGAATGTGAGCTTTTCTGAGGTTTGAACATGTTGTTGTACGACATGAAATAACAAAAGTTCCACATCAGCCATATGGGATTTTTAGGGAAAGGCTCTGCCATTTGTGATGCTCACTCCAAACACTAATTAAGGTAAAGGGTTATGATTGGACCGTCAGATTTCAGGCTGCTGGAATTCTGGCCTAAGTTTAGGTGGGCTTACTGACTCTGCTCCACAGGCAGGGAGAACACTGTAACCATAACGACTAAAGAGTGGCTATTTCATCAAGTAAAAAAAAAAGGGTTAAACCATAGCTTTCGACAACACTAAATACAGTTAAAATAAAGGTTCCCCCCCTCCCACAAGTGTTTCCTCCTCCTCCTCCTCCTCCTCCTCCTCCTCACCTCAGCCCGGAGCTCGGCTAGTTTCTTGTCCATGCTGGTCCGGGCCCCCAGCTCGTCTTCCAGGTCTTCAGATATGCGGCCCAGTTCATCCTGATGCATCTCTTTTAGCAGGTTCAGCTGCAAGGAGTCAGGAAGGGGGGGGTATTTCAACATTAGAAAGCTTCCTTCCTGATCCACATGAATACCATATGCATAAATGAGATGGTGCTTGATGTTTAAACTATGGCGATATCTTGTGTGTGACAACAATGAAGGGTAGAGAAGGCTTTTCTGACTCACTATGACTGTACCACATTTCTTTCACATTTGTTAATTTTGTCTTTGGTTTGACTCTTCATGGTTTATTGCACTTATTGTAAGTCGCTTTGGATAATAGCGTCAGTTAAATGCCATGTAATGTAATGTCTCAACTTTTTTTCATTTAATTAAAATGTAATAAATGTGGCCTTTTCCCTGTGACATTTGGCTGTTTGCGTCCGTTCTATTCTATTCTTGATTTGTTTTGTTTATTCCAATCATGGCAAATTCTTATTGAAAATAACTTGTATACTTTAAGCATGATGGGAAAGGAGCAGGGAGAAGGACGTCTTGTTCTACCTGCCCCTTCATTCTAATACTGAAAAAAACAGCAAGAGGGGAAATATTACTTTAGTTATGCTCTGAGGAGAGATGGAACAGCATCAGTGATTACTACTTTAATCAAATGAAATCAAAAATATAAGATAACATTGTTTCATATCTCAACAGTTCCAACTTTGGTTGACTTTCAGTGTACAGTTAGTTTCCTTTGCTTCTTCAAAGGTGGCCATTTCCAGAAGCAAAGGTCTGCTGTGATGTGGAAGTATCAGGACAACGAGCTGCAGATAAGGATGACCCCCCCCTCTCTGAGTCTCATCAGACTTCACCCTATCCTGCTCTCACCTCCATCCCCTCTCCCCTCCTCTCTGTCCCAGCTTGTCCTTCTGCCAGTCTTTACAAAATTACTGTGTGTGTGTGTGTCCTCTTCTTCCTCTCCTCCCTGCAGCTCTGTGCTGCCCCCAAGTGGTGGAGTACTGCCAGCACATCCATGCTGCATGTTTCTGGTAAATGTGCTTAAACGTTGCAGGCTATATTTTCAACTGAAATGCATCAATCGGGTGCAATTTTTTAGCAAATGGGGAAATAAAAAATGTAAATAAAAATGTGCTTTTATACATTAAAATGTAACAATAAACACATTGGTTGAAAAGAAAGCATGACTGTTGTCTTCTGGGGGAGACGCTTACTCTGAGGATGTCACTGTCCATGAAATACCTTTGAGTGCAGCTGGAGGACAGGGTGGAATGGGCCTGGAACATGGGGGCCCTCTACAAGAGGAGCCACAGCCAGTTCTACTTCCTGCGGAGGTTCAGAGGCTTCACTAGTAAATAAAGGCCCCCAAAACCCTTTGAGGACTCTGCGCAGTCAGACCTCTTTCTAAATGGAAGCATTCATTCTGCTGTCAGTCACAAACACATTTCACACGACAAACCCGTCCTGTTTTTGGAGCCAGTCTAGGTGGCCCTTCAGCCCAGACATAAAGAATGGAGGCTGTGACCTGAGGTCCTAGAGGTCTCACCTGTTTGAGGGTCTCCTGTTTGGTCTTGCTGAGCTCCTCATATTTAAACTTCCACTGAGTGAGGTCAGCCTCCAGCCTCTCGATGCTCTTACTCAGAGCCAGCTTGTCACTGGGGGGAGACACAAACACACAGGTTTTCAAAAAATCCATCATACTGTTCTGGGGCCTGAGCGGGTGCTTAGCAAATCTTTTCAACTGTCTATCAGGAATACATGTTGGAGTTTTCGGGGTGTAGGCAGGTGACCCACAGAGAATGCTGCTGGGTAGAGTGATGAAGTAATGGAGTGTGGAGGTGGTGATGGATGGGTCTGTGTTTCTCTTACTCTCTCTCCTTCAGCAGGACCTTCTGGGACTCGTCCAGGCGGAGCTGCAGAGCGTTCAGTTTCCCCGAGTCCTCCTCCCCAGTGCCGAGGTCCTCCCACAGCTGTCTGCTGCGCTCCTGCCGGCTCAGAGCGGAGGATGAGCGGGGGGTGGAGGAGTTCACAGCCCCCCGAGTCTCCCAGCACTCCTGAGGGTCACCGTCCGGGGCCCGGGAGTGCAGGACAGACTCCAGCACCTCCAGGTCCTGACGGAGACACAGAGGGAGGAGAGGATGAAGAACGATATGAAGAGAATGGAGCTGATGTTTATCAGAGAGAGAAAGAAGGACTGCACGCTCTCAAGTAGCAAGCTACGTTAGCACTACGTTAGCACTACGTTAATGAAACACTTCCTGCTATCAACACTCTTTACTTCATACTGACAGAGGGAGCAACACTCCTCACAATCACAGGATACTATTCCCCTGGTGATGGAAGCCGTTAGTGCGTCTCTCTCCTGGAATAATCTTATGAGAAGCATTTGCTCTCCTAACATTCCATAAAGCCCCTGTCACACTGTTCCGAAATTGACACCCGATGGACACACGATTAAGGAAATGTTCAAATTCGGCTCAACATCGGGCCATTCGTGAGGGCATCTTAAGCCATCGTATGACCGCCAGTGGAGTTTCTCAGGCTCCGGCAGCAACTTCGTGAGCGGCAACTTCGTAAGGCACTCGTGAGGGCATCTTGTCAAATCGTGAGGGCATCTTGTTATCATCTGTGCCATCGGGCATTCGCCCTCACTCTGATCGGGGCAAATGCCCGATGGCACCGATGATAACAAGATGCTCTCACGATGGCCTTACGAAGGGCAAAATTGACACACGAATTCAACACGAAAATAAACCTTTGCAAGGTCCTTCGTCAATTTTTTGGCATGCCAAAGATTTTGCCACCGCTCACGAAGTTGCTGCCGGAGCCTGAGAAACTCCACCGGCAGTCATACGATGGCTTAAGATGCCCTCACGAATGGCCCGATGTTGCTACGATCAGAGCCGAATTTGAACATTTCCTTTATCGTGTGTCCATCTGGTTGTTTTATTGCACAACAAAATCATGTAAACATATTATGTAAATAACCCAATTTGTGTTCTGTGAAACTGAAAAGGATATAATATATTATTTTGAAGGCGAGTTGACAGGAAGTTGTTGTTGCTATGGAAACAACATTACGGAGAAAACTTAATATCTTCTACATATAAAGACGGATAAAGTAAAGAACAAAGTCTGAAAATATCAGTACAGTATCATAGTACTTTAACATAATCGTTTTTGATACGTTCGTTGCAGTTGTATGTCTTAAATGTAATGTAAATGTTGCCTTCATGTGTGGTTCGGGGCCATCTTCGTGCGAAATTCACAATTCCATATTCGTGTGTCCATCGGGTGTCAATTTCGGGACAGTGTGACAGGGGCTTAACTCCTAACCAATCATCTGGCAGGATTAAGGCTCCCTTTCAGTATAGCTCTCATTCCAAATAACACTATCTCTTGTATAGACTCATATGAAGCTCCTTGATTTGAAAGGTTGTCAGAAAATACAGCGTCTTGTGTCTCTTCTGTCCTCAGTGTTCCACCCTATCAAAGCATTTTCATCGAGCAGATCATCTCAGGTTTCTGCCTGAGAACCCTGAAGGGTGGCTCCTCCAGGCCAAACATTTTCACATCTCATTTCCTTTAATGGCTGCTAATCTGCTTTGTCACTACAACAGTATACATCCTAATGTTGCCCAATATCCTCCACCTCCAGTAGATGTGTGTGTCTCCCACAGGCTGCATAATGCTGCATGCTTCCTCTAGATAATCACTGAGGTGCCTTTAGGAGTCCCTCAGAAATATCTGACTCTGCGACTGAGAGTAGTACAGATATCTGTGGTTGAAGAGTAGAAATGGTGGACCCTGTGTGGGGTTCTTTATAGTGTTTAAAGCAAAGCAGCTTTAAACACTATACAGTGTACATAAAGGTCATTAAAAACCTGGAAAAGTCATTGAAATTCAAAATGCTAATTCCAGGCCCTGGAAAAGTTATGGAAAACAATATTTTTCATGGAAAAGTCATGGAAATGTAACTAAAGTTGCATCAAATGTAATTTATATTTTATCTAATCGCCGAAATAGTAATACTATAATGATAATAAATACTGTATCGTACAGTAATGAAACGTAAAATGGCATTTAACTGACGAGGTGTTAGGCTGGTGAGAGATTTGAGTTGCTTTAGCGTGTAGAAGCTAGTAAGCCTACTATTTGATTTGTTGGATAGACACAACATGTTTCATATGCAGACCTTATTTTCCTGTTCCATGTTAAAATAAACCATTGTCAATGGTACCGCTGAGAAAGAGTTATTTTTTTGGTCATGGAAAATTAGGTAAAGGTAATGGAGAAGTCATTGAAAATCATTGGTGAAAAAGTGTATGAACCCTGATCCGTAAAGAAATCCACAACAATCCCAACACCATTATGATTAGCTGTCAT